GGCTCTGTCATACAAGTCGCCTTAGCCTACTCGTACACCGTGGTCGCCTAGGCGGACGCTTCCACCTCCTCTTACCACTTTTGCAGGGGCTGCTGTTCTGCCTCTTCATTCCGAATGCTAGTCGCAGTGGCGCTCTGCCTTCGTGGCTACGTACCGTCACAGCGACGGAGCCAGTGCGTCTCACACCCACAAATGCAGCGCAATTCACGCGTCTCCTCTCGACTCTGTGCAACCCACCGCAATCTTCCATCACAAAGGCACACCAGCATCATCAGTCACGTAACTCCAAGGATCTCAATGACCCCGTCAAGGCAGCACGCGACAAGGCTAGCAAATTCCTGTACCCTCTCCTCGCATCGTTCTGCCGCTTCCAGCTCAACGGACGATTAGATCAGGAGGTGAGAGAGAAGTTAATGCCAGGCATCTGGGAAGTTATCGGCACGGCGAGCTTGCACAGGGACGGGCTAGACGCTATGTTCGCCGGTCTAGGCAGGAGTGAGAGAGACGTTTGGAAGGGGCTTTGGGAGCAGTGGGAGGGTGTACATGGGAGGAGGCAGATCGTTGGTCACGGAGACTAGGATAATATGTATTGTGAGAGCGCAGCAAGGATTGTTTGTGACTATTGCAAACGCTCCGCCTATTGTTCGTTACATCCAGTTCGCGATTTCGTCTCTCACATCCGTGCCAAGAGTTCCACCTTCACTTCGCTCTCATTGCCGTGCTATTGTCGTCGCAGTATTCTCATCTAGCTATTGTCATCGCAAATACAATAGACCAGCATTGCAGTACGGCCCTGGGCTTTCTTATATCAAGTAGTTCTGGCCTCTCCCACTTTCTCCCAGCAACCTCTACTCCCATCTCCTCTTACCACTACCATTTTCAAGCCACTTCTCCATACAATCTCCAAATCTTTTCTCACAACAGCCACCATGACTTCTACCATTACCGAGCAAGCCACTTCTGGAAGCGCTGGCGCTTCTCCTCCAATTCCCGGCATCTGCACCTGCAACACCCCAAACACCTACCTCACACCCATAATTGGGTGCGTCAACCGCCGGTGCCGCCCCCGGTACTACCATCTCAGCTGTGTAGGGCTGGAAGATCGCCCTGCGCATTGGTCTTGTCCGTCCTGCGCGCCTCCCTCCAACAAGCGCAAGTCAGATGACTCTGACGACGACATGCCGCGCAAGAGGCGCAAGATGGCTGAGCTCGTAGCCTTTGCCGCCGACGTTCCCCTTGCTGTTGTCGAGCAGCTATTCGCTGAGGAGCCTGGCGCCGACATTGACGCAGAGGGTGAGGAGATTGAGGACGGTGGTGACGATGTAGTCGCCGGGCTTCCTGCTGTTGGTGCCAGTGGAGACGCACCAATCCTGGTTGCCGACGACGAGGGTGGTTCCGCGTCTGCTTCTGGGGACGGTTTCGAGGATGGCGGCGACGATGAGCCGGAGTCGGAGTCAAGCCACTACTGCATCCGAGGATGTCGGCGCGAGACTGGTGGGATGGTGGGGTGTGATGGGGAGGATTGCACGGGCGAGTGGTTCCACTTCGCGTGCATTGGGATGACGGCGAAGACAGTTCCGGAGGGAGAGTGGTTTTGCGATGATTGTGCTGGGGAGTGAGAGACCTGGTTGGTTTGCATCACGGGAAAGTCACAAGTTGTTTTGCGGGTTGTTATCATTAGCTAGTTATGTCTACAGCGCAAGCAGTCAAAACACCATCAGCCCGCACAGTCAAAATCCAATTCTCTTGTTAACGCCAGACTCCGCGCTAAGTCCAGCGAATTTCCAAAGCACAAGAAAGTCAGATGCACCCCTACTACTCACTCTAGTGGTCTGGGTAGATAGTATAGGTCTTCATAGGCACATCCGTAGGACCAGTGTACATGTAGTTCTCGTCAATCGTGATGGTGAGCATTGGCTCAGCCGTGACAGCAGGGCCCAGGCTGCGCTTGTCAGCGTAGGTAGGTGTCTCAGCGTCATCAACGGTGATGGTCGTGGTCTCTGCGGGTAGGGTGTTGGGGATAGTGGTAGTTACGGTCACTACGCCAGACGTGTTGATGATGGTCGTGGTCGTAGTGTCAACGTATGTAGGTTCTCCTTCCACAGTGACGGTGACGTATTCGGCAGGCGCAGTGTACGGCTCGGCGCGCTTGTCGTAGTAGGATGTGACGGTTGTGTAGATGACAGACTGGAACGGGGAGGGCGTTGCGCCTGCGCTCTGGGACCTGGTCCGAGTAACAGTTGTAGTACCAGCATATGCAGTGGGGTTTGCCGAACGGGTAACAGTGACCGTACCAACGTGGGACGCAGGGTTTGCCGACCGAGTGACAGTGACAACACCAGCCGGGGTTCCAGCAGCCACAGACTTGGACTTTGCAGAACGAGTGTGTGTGACAGTAGTAGTCATGTTGATTGTTCGATCACCATTGTCAATAGTAGTGGCGATGTCTCTCCGTGAGATATCACTCCTTGAGACAAGCCTGGTGAAGGTCGTGTGCATGTGGTGGGTAGTGGTGACAGTCACGGTGACTTCCTTGACAGCGATCTTGTTGTATGCTGCGTACACTGATTAGTTTTGAGCTGGTACGTAGATGTATAGGAGAAGAACGTACCATTGGAGCTACGCATAGCCGTTTTGAAGGCCTCACCGTTGGCATCGGCGGGGCCAATGTGCTGACCGAAGTTTGTGCAAGAAGATGCGTCCTCCGGCAGGGAGTAGAGGGCACATTGGGCGACGGCAATGGGATTAGGGTTGGGGCAAGCAGGTCCGGGAATCTGGGACGGACTGCGCTGGATGTAGATGTTGACTACATAGAGGAAGATGATTAGCTTTGCTGTATGATAATATCATGCCAAAGGGTACAACTTACAGGAGTCGCAGCCTTCATGGTTGTTGCAGAGTTCGGCGCAAGCCTCCGGGTCGTATGAGTCCAGTTGAACGTACAGCATGTACCTGTTGGACGAGAAGGCACAGTTTGCATTTTTCATGGTGGCAGTGTAGCCGGCAGGGATCGGGGCCGTCAAGGCCAACTCGTCGTACTTCTCGTCATCTGTGAAAGCTGAGAGAGCGTTGGAGGATGGCTCCGGGGCAGTGCTGTCACCGAGAGGCGCACAGAGAGGTTCGGAACGGGGGGCAGGTGTGGCAAAGATGGCGGATGCGGCAGAGGTGACGAAAGGAGGGACGACAGCGGCGAAGACCGCACCGGAGAAGAAGAAGAAGAAGATGGTGATGATAGAAGAGGACTTCGTCATCTTGTATGTTGCTTGACCCTTAGGTCAGAGTGAAGGATGAGAAAAGGTTGTCAGAGAAGAAACTCTGAATCTTGACGATGTAAAGATGTTGGTTGTTGCTATGTTGGAATGGGGAAGTCGCCTTCTTATACTGACGGATGAGCTCTCAAATCAAGTAGGAAGCGTTGATGATTGCATGAAGGGGACATGGTGCCAGAGACTACGTCTTGATCATGATGAGATATATTCGATGTATTGAGCCCAGAATGAGGGTTCGCATTACATGGTCATACTTTACCCCGCTGGATACATCCATTGAGATGCTCTGAAGCTCCGTTGTCCACCGCATTCTTCTCTCGACATTCGGAACGGGTGCTTCGCATGGTTTACCATTGTCATCACGGGCGATGATCGACGCCCGTAACGGGCTAGATCGGAGCATACGACATGGGTATACGGGCAAGAATGCGCGATTGAACCCTTTAACTCTGTTGAGAAGGGCCTCGCGATTTCATGAATGGCGCGGATGATCGAATAACACGCGATTATCGAAGAGCTGTATGAAGAAGGGTCTATGTGTGTTGAGGCGTACGCGTCCAGAGCTGCCGGCTGTCCGGCGTCGGAGGGCGCTAGCGTGCCGAATGGGCAGGAGCCGCCCTTCCACGTGAGGGACCCTTTCACACACAGGCACGCTTTCTGGATCGTTATCCCATAGGATTCCTTGCACTCCCTTAGCTGGAAGGGACTGTGTACCCCGCTTTCCAACGAGACAACCTTAGCTCAGCTCAGCTCAGCTCACTTGGTGTAAGGCCGCAACCAACAGCATCCACAATCATCGCTCCTACATCATTCTGGCCTGCCTTGTAGCTGTGATGGTCACCATGATGCCTGCGCTAAATCTACCTCCCGAATCCAAGGTTCCGCCACGTCTAGGCTCTGATCCCTTGCCGCAAGATGGACAATTCCGCGTCCCTACTCTGCGACCTTGGGACCGCGGGTCTCACCACCCCACCTACACCATGGACCTTGCCATCCGGTCCATGAACATCAGTACCCTAGCCGATCTTCATGGTCTAACTGTTATCCCGCAAATATACCAAATGCTCTTCCATCGTACCCGCGAATTTGCCGCGACCGTGCACAAGCTGGTGGACGTCGCGCCAGCATCGTGGGCAGAGGCGGCATGTTTACTGGTAGATTGGGGTGTTAATGTTCTGCGACACAACGACGTTGGACTGGAGCGGTTCCTACACAGTCAACGCGAGAGTCTGTATTGGATTCTGGATGATGCGCTGTTGACGATTTGTGTGGATCAGTGGGATCCACCATCCTCGCATTCTACCCAACCGCGCACATCTTCATCATCAACCCCCAAACTCATTGCTTGGGACAAAGCTACGGCACCGGTAACGCTAGCGTTGTCAAGGGCCAGTGATCTACTCCCCATATGGGCCGCGCAAGATCTGCAAGATTGGGAGAGGTGGGGATTTGCCCGCTCGTACACTGTGGCTCAGCACATGACCGCTGGCTGGTTCCGTCGATCCACAAAGTTCCTGCACGAAAGCAGCAGGATATACGAGATTTGGAGGACTATGAGGCGATGGGGCGTTGGCCAGCTTCCTACTGAGCTGGCGACTGTCATTATGGAAGATGTAGCAAAGTCTGAGAAGCTTCCGATGGGTGACTTGCGGTTGCATTATTTCCCCAAGGGCAAGTCGAGAGCGCAGCTGGTATAAGCGAGTATTACGATTGTTCTACTTAGATCGTGTTCTACATCGGTGCGCCTCCTTCCAGCCCTCCATCCTCGGTGCCTTGGGCTTTTGCTGAAGCCAAGATAGCCAGCACATCCTCCTTCCCGCCGATACCTTCCATCGCTCCGAACACGTCAGTCATGGTGCGCTCCGCTACTTTCTCAATGTCCTCTTGCTCTGTAACACCCACTTCATTCAGCGTACTCGGCAACCCAAGGCTTCTCACAAAGCTGGCCACCGCATCCGCAAGGCTCGGCTCGTCGCTTTCAAGGACCTTGTTCCAGATTCCCAGCACGCGTTGCTGTACCTCTCTCTGCTTCTCCGACTTCGAGGCATTGTACCGTAGAACAGGGGCGAGCATGACACAAGACGTGACGCCGTGCACAACGTCGCATACGCTTGCCAGCTGATGTCCAATGGCGTGCGAAAGTCCCATCGGAATGCTCCACAGGATGAGACCCATCATCGCGTTCCTGGACCCTATCTGACAATTTCCGATTCCATCGAGCAGCTCGGATCGGATGCTGTCACTTTCGCCGGTTTTGTAGTTTCTCAGCCCTTTCAGTAGGACTGCAAGCGCATCTTCCATATAGTGGAAAACTTCTCTGGTGCACTCATCCCATCCCATCCCATGGTACCGCGATGACCCGTCAACGACGAGCCACTCACGACTCCCGCAACACACACGAGATACACGATGACTGAATCCGCCCATTAAATATGGAAGGGATGAGAAAGAGGTCTCTGGTGCACTCATCGTTGAGCATCTGTTGATGACACAGTGTCAATACAGTCTTTACCTAGCGAAACTCCAAGGGTAGTACATACCGTTTCGACGCAATTATCTATCGCGCGCATCCCGCTCGACACCCACAACTTCCGAGGCGATGTGGACGCTACTTCAGGATCCAGAAGGATGAGGTCTGGTGCTGCACGCTCACTTGCGAAATGCTGCTTCTTTTTTGTTTTGGGGTTCGTTGCAGATGAGTTGTTGTTCCACTCGCTTGCGGATAGACTCGTCGGTACGAGGATGAGTTTTGTCGTTGGGTCCTTCAGATCAACTGCACTTCCCTTCTCTTGGTCTACCAAGGATTCCATGGCCTCTACCGTGAGGTAATCTGGAGCGAGATTCGCAAGCATCAAGCGAGCGATCTTGCTTGCATCCGAGTAGCTGCTACTTCCTATACTGATCAGACAGTCCGCGTTCTTTTCGTGGAATAGTCTTGCGATCTCCAGTACGTCTTCGTATGGAGAGTGATCACCCACCCCCGACTTTGTCCCTACAACAAACGAGCCCAATTTTTCTTTCAGCATCTCGACGATATCCGTGTTCTCATGAAGCGCCTTCGAGTGCACTATGAGAATGCGCTGGCAGCTCCAAGTACCAATCGCATCAACGATATCGTCTAGGTAGTTGGAGTTGAGTATGGCATTGTGACCCCTCCGAGCGGGGACTGGGAGTTGTTGAATCGTTCGCCTTTTGCAACAATAATCGCTGTAGTCGGACATGTTGTTAAAAATGATGAGAACGCCGTTTCTTCTGTTGTATCAAGCAGTTCAAGCAGTGAATAGATGTCGTTCGAACTGAAAGCCCTTGAGGCGTCGCACGTTCTTCCCTGACAAGCGTCTTACCTCATACCTGCTCAACCCCGCCGTCATAATGTGCAACCCCACTTGTTACTACGATGCTCACGAAGCATGTATACTGCATTGGATGCAGATTGCGTGCTTCAATGCCTCTATCTTTCTGGATTGGTCGGTGGCCTTCAATCGAGATTCATTGCTTGCTAGGCCTGCGGCGTATTGCTCCGCCAATGGTACCCAGGTGGACTGACCTTCCGGTATGAGGAGACTCGCTTTCAGGAACCATTTGCAGAGCAAATGAGAAATACCTTTAAGCTGTATACGGAGCGAAACAGCGAATGCTCATGGTACCTGGGGTTGCTCGTACTCGCAGGACCCCGTTGTGGTGGTCATAGCTCCATCCGGCGATGAAGGTTCGCGACAGGGGGTGCCGCTGTCGGGATCGCAAATCCATCGGTGGAGGGGCGTATCGCATCGCATTGGCATCATTGAGATCAAGCAAGTTGCGAGCGGCACAACCTTGATAGATGCTCTGACAGAGGTCACCACAGAGCGTTGGTGATAATGTCCTGGTTGGGGATCAGAGGTGTCGAGGAGGGAAGCCGCGACCACGACACGCTAAGGCGAGGTGGGTTTTACGCGCATCAGTTGCAACGCCACGTCGGTCTCGACAATGAACATGAACAGTCTTTATATCCTTCTTCATAAGATCCTCAAATCTTGCATCATCAGCGCGAGACGTACATGTCGAACCGGGCTCCGCGGATCGGGCTTGTACAGCTCGCGCGATTTGAAATCCCTCCAGTCGTCGCAAGTCGCGAGTCGGAAACAACATTACGCTCTGCTTTTCTAGTCTCACCAACCTCTTATTGACCTACAGCATTGGATATCGAGTCATATGTGAGTAGCACAAATCTAGCATCACATGTTTGTCGCTGCTGTAAGTCCTCTAGAAGGCACTAATGAGGCGAAGAGCCCTTTTGAGCAGGTTATGATGTACACACATCTGTACTACGACTATAAGATGTTTCTGGCCCCTCGCGTCGCCAAACAGGCAACCTAGAACACAAAGCTCATCAAGCCCGGCTCACGAGCTCTGGAGTCTTTGTGCGTCTGAGATAGTTGCTCATTGCCGCTGACAATCGTGCTCCAAGAGGGCCGCATTCCCAACGAACTCCACGATCATCTCTATTCGTCACTAACTTTCATAACCAGTTTCGGATTGCTTGCAGTATACTTCGTCTGAAGTATTGCTCCATTCTGCTCCCAGAATGATGAGGTAGCAGGTTATCGTTAATGAATCTCCAGGAAGGCGCGATCGTGTTATCCCAGAAGTGCCGTGTCCAATCAGCCGGATATCATCGAACAAGCCACCGACAGCTTGCATTTCTCCTCAAATACACGGTATACACTCGAAGTAAGGTACCCGTCGCGCCGCTTCTCCATGCTAAGTCGCAGGCCGCACGCCCTGACATGCCGCTGCGACACGGCCAACAAACCAAGGAAGCAGGCACACCTCATCTCGCCAAAACGTCTAATTGCCCTTTCTTCTACATCTACGCGTCACCTCCATTCTAGTCACCGCGGAGCGACAGTATTGACTCCTAGCGCGCGGCGTTGTCATACTTCGCTTAGCACCCCGCATCCATCGAGTCTTGACATCACGCTCGACGACCCGCCATCTCGGACCAAGACGACCATCTCTGCCAGTCTCTCCACATGCTGATGTCAGGCACGGTCCTGCAATGCACCCCAGACAGCGCTAATGCGGACCGGGCGAATTTCCGAACGTTCGCTGGCCTGTAAAAGGCTTGTTTGCAAGGTTTCGCTGCAGACTCCGCTGCGTTTCAAGCTTTCGCCAATCTCATGACCGGCAATAGCTGCGTATTGCCGCGAGGCAAGCGACGAGCAGCTAACGGCACGATTTATCCGTTGGCACAGCACAGATGGGGCTTGTTGGATGCATCGAGGCGGCTGGAATGCGCACGCGAGGGCATGATGGCTCTGTTGTTGCGGCGGAGGAATGAGCCGTGTTAGCTCGGCTGGAGGCGTCCATGAGATGGGTGTTGTTGGTGGAGGAAGCGAAGGATATGACAGTTACTGATGTCACCTTGGTGACAAGCTCAGGGGCGTCTATTGGGAGGAGGGCTAACGTATTGTTTGCATGCCTGACGAGGCGTGTGTTGATCATTGAATTGGTATAAGAGACGAAAGGGTAGTCTCTGTCACCTGCAGTCAAGCACCTGCATCTTCAACACCTTCGCTCCTCAGACACCAATCGCCAAACTACAAGATGCTGTCCAAGTCTTTCTCCCTTCTCGCCTTTGGCGCTCTGGCATACGCCCAGGAGCAGGTCCAAGAGGGTGCTCCTGCACCTGTCGTCCTCGCAACCGCAAAGTCTGGTGTCATTCCCGCCACTCCAACCGCCACTCCATTCACTGGCGTCGACACAATCCAGGGAGCCATCGTCTCTCCCCTTCCGCCTGCGCCTGGCTACCTCCCAGGTGAGACTGGTGGTCTCGAGGGTACTGCAACCGCGTCTTCCAACCAGCCCTCAGCCACCTACCGCGCCACCATGCCAGAGGTGCAATACAACCCCTTCGTGGGCAGCACCATCTCCGGTTCCATCCAAGCTGTGGGTGGTGCAGGTGGTGTCAACTTCACCGTCGACCTGACCAACCTACCCGACCAAGCGCAATTCGGCCCATTCGCCTGGCACATCCACGCCATGCCCGTCCCCTCCGACGGAAACTGCACAGCAACTATGGGCCACTTGGACCCTACAAACCGTGGCGAGCTCGTCATGTGCGACTCCGCGCAGCCTGAGACGTGCCAGGTTGGTGACTTGGCTGGAAAGCACGGCGGCAAGATCATGACGGAAGGAAGTTTCACTACTAGCTTTGTCGACCCGTACCTCAGTGTTGAGCAGGGCAGTGCTGGATTCTTCGGTGGATTGGCGTTTGTCTTGCACACTGGCAACACTACGAGGATTACTTGCGCGAACTTTGAGATGGTCGGTGGCAACGGTACTTCTCCCAATGGCACCATGGCCATGCCCAGCCCCACTAGCAGCGACCCAGCTGAGTACACTGGTGCTGCTACCAAGCTTGGTGGAGGTGCTGCTGCTCTTGCGGCCGGTGTCTTTGCCGCGATGATGCTGTAGATAGTGGTACTATTTGATTGTTCAGTCATAGAACTATACCAATAATGTAATACATGTCCCACACAAATGAATGCGTAGTATCGAGACATGGATCCTGTTATGAACGGGGTTAGAGAGCATTGCGCCACGTTGTACAAGAAAGAACTTAGTCAGACAATCGACGGAATTGTATAGTGATCCATATCCGTAAGTATTTCCATTAGGCAATAGCCTCCCCAGTAACGCCGGCATCTGTCTTGTTGCCCCATGCTGGGTGTATAGTACTTTTGCACTCTTTGTTGCAACTGTAGCGCTCACATACCCAGTATCTGGGACCACTCCCCAGTCTCCTACCACATTCCAAGACTGCGCACGTCTTCCACTCTCCTCCATCGCTTTTCAATCCCTTCTTCAGCAACCTCACCGCGCTTTCTGCCTTTCGCATGGCAAGTTCTTCACTGTCCACCTGACTGCAAGTACGACAGAGTCGCGTAGTAGTCTGAGATAGCCTCATCTCCGTGTAGTACGCGTGTCTGTTAAAAAATCCCCAAAACGCTCTTTGTTGTCGAATAGAAAGGCGCTTTACACAGTCGCAGGTCGGGTTTCCCTTCGCTCGACTTCTACGATTGCGAGAATTGCGAACGATGTGTGTATGGTAGCACGATGCGCAGTATAGGACGCAATCCTCGAGATGATGAAGTGCAGGCGCATGTGGCATATAAGAAAACTCTTCACACCCTTCACATATCTGATTCGTGCAGCCCCAGCAGGTGTTCTTCTCGCCAGGGCCGCACGTGTAGCGCCTGAAGATACCAAGTCGGCTTGAGACATCGTTCGAAGGTAGGACTGATTCGCGGACTGATTTTGAGACTGATGATAGGCTGGCGATATCGGTGTAGTGCAGATCTTTGGCGACCATGATCAACATGTCGTAGACAGCCAGAAATCGTGAAAGCTCGTTTTGAGTACCACCGCTACCCTGACATGGTAGAACAGTATCACCACTGTTACTCGCGTGCTTTATGCGCTCTGTCAACATCATTTCGATCTTTTGCTCCGCCCCTATCGTAGCCTTCGTGACGTACCGACGGGCTGATCGCACCGGGGCTTTGAAGTCCATCGGTAGGTAACGGAAGAACAAGATCGGGGTGTAGATCAGAACACCATACACCAAGAGCGCTGGCCACTTGAACATGCAAGCGAAGCAACCCCTGTGCATTTTGAGGATTTCTTTTACCATGTCGAGAATGGACTCGCCGTTCTTTCTCAACTCTAAAATACCAACGGGGAACGCAAGGATACCTATGAACGACACGAGGGCGTACAAAAAGCTGTGGTAGTCAGCAAGGCCCATCTATCCACGAATATACGGCTTACGTTAGCGCAACACCATATTGTGCCTCCTCCACGAATTCCAAGCACATGGCAGTCGAAGTCGCCGTTGTCCCGTTGAGTCTTCCGGCAGCAGCGAAAAAGCTCTCATTCGTGCCAATGGGTCGCTGCAATTCGAGGCCCGCTTTGTCGTGACAAGCTTTTGGATTAAGAGGTATGTATCCAACCTGGTAGTTTGTAGCCGTCGCCAGAAAGACGGTAATCGTAGTGTCGACAATCGTGAAAGGTAAGTTCAGTGGAGGGAAGCATACCAGCGCAGGCCACCAACAGGCCAAGTTCCAGATCCATAAGATAAAGCCCCATTTGTCCGCAAGCCTTTCGCCAGCTAGCATGGACGTGCCGTAGATACCGTCGTGAAGTTCGGGATTGATCCTGATCAACTCGTGGTGGT